CAGAATACAATGACCAGATTCAACAGAAAAACTGAACAGCCAGAAAGTCCTGGAGATGACACATCTTCATCCTTGGGAAACATGGAAGCTGTGGGAAATATAGCAAAACATGGCATTAACTGGCACTTATCCTCTTTCTATCGTTGATGCTTCCCTCAGCTCCTGATGATTCGACTGTCTTTGGTAATTCTGCCTCAACTGGATCAGATGGTGGAGGAGTGCCTCACCATAAAGGATACAGCAACTGGATAGGCACTTAACAAATCTCTCCCACTAGTCATTCGCAGCACTGTCCCTGAGCTACACACATGCTCTGGCACTGTAGAATGTTTGGGGTATATGGCACCCCAAACTGATGATGTCAGTGTTCACAAGTGGTAGTTGTGTGGTAATCGGTTGGTAATTGGTTGATGGTTGGTTGGTGGGTGTTGGTTGGACTGCGATTTTTCTGCCAGCTCTTCACATAGGTTTCATCCTGTCAGGAAAGAACTCAGAATTAGTCATCACCAAGAGGGTATCATCTTGACAGGAAAGACAGAATAAGTATCAGTCACCATCCCACATCAGCCTACTCCACCTCTGCTCCTCTGTTTCATTCCTAAGAGTGCACTCTCAAGACCAGGAGACAATGTCTCCTATCATTCATCTGTCTGTTTAGTGTAAGAGATGGAAAGTCAGACATATAGTGGAGATAGATAGACACTCTCACACATATATCAATCTCTCCCCCCTCCCCTCTGCACACAGACACCACTATTTACCGTCAATACCCCTATTCCTTACGACTCTCAAGTCATTTCCACACATCCATTGATCTGGGTCAAACACACTCACGCAGCTCTGTCTGTCCAAGTACTGACCTAAATTACGTCCCCATTCGTATGCACAAACTTCTGTTGTTAGTTTAAATGTTACACACTTGTAAGGTTATTAGTTTTACCAGTATGTGTGGGTTATTTAGGGCATAGGCTATTTAGTCTGTACAGAGGAAGGTCTAAGTTCGAATCCGCTTCTCTAGCGATCAAGAACGGTCGAACTATGTGTGATCCCATAGCCGATACTGATCTCTCTACAGCAGTGACCACTTTAACAGACATCATTTAAGGTACTCGTAAACTATAATTAACTTACCCAAGCATATTAAAAGTCCTCGACATTACAGATCGCCTTCTGAAAGTGAAATTTTCTGGCGTCGATGCATACATCTGAACGCTAGGAAAGCCGGCAGAAAGAATGGCGCAAAATTCTCACTTCAGGCGTTGGTAAGAAGGAGTTCCTTGTATACATGAGCAAGGAGTAAACCGGTTTCTAAAAAACCTCAAATAACTCCAGTAATATTTATCAAATAGTTGCAAATTTGAAAATGACGTTAAGTCAAAGCAACTAGAGGATGTAGACATTATAATTTTGTCCGATAAAGGCATATATCGATATAGGGGACTATATACCTTTCCGGACGAGTCCAAGTTTCAATGTTGTGTCGAGTACAGGTAAGTCAAGTCCCCACTCTATATGGGTGATGTGTAATGGCTTATCATTCCACGACACAGGCGCGAAATGGCAAAAAAATATAATAAATATATTCAAACAGTATGAAATGTATAAATTGTATTCTATTTAAATGAAGAATATTTTACGTAATATATCCATGTCACTTGAGGTTGGAAAAAACAATTTTCGCAAGCTATATAGAGCCAGTTTTAACGTACAGCTGTGTCTCCTGTACCATTATTATTTAAATAGGCCTCAGAAATGTAGTTTTATTGAAGAATCATTAGAAGTCAGTGGACAGCTAAAAAGAGCAAACCAGGTGTTTTGAATGACTCGAGAGCTCAAAGACAGCTTATCACAAACATCAGAAAGAGACAGTCAACATTTTTTTAGGGGGGGGGGGGGG